TTTGCCATGTTTTTTTATGGATTCTTATTTTCTCTATTTTGAAAAGGAGCATTGAAAATAGTATCCGCTATCGTCTTATTACAGAGAATTTGCAACTTGGGGTAGCAGTAACAGAGAACAAAGATATGGTGTTGGATCTTTTAACTGACATGCAGAATTTAATATAGCTAAGTTTAGTATGGAACATTTATCTCAAATAAGTGTGTCAGTCTGTTTCTTACTATGATTTCATCAAATTTCCTGTTATTAGTGGTGATATTTTGTATTTCAGATTCACTGTAGCGACCATCTGATAATCCAGCATATCTACGCACTGTGGTGATCATGCCATAAGGATAGACTGTGCATGCAATCCCAGTTGTACAGGTTATGTTAACATGATTGCCTTGACTTTTATGGCTTGTGTTACCGGGTATTTAAAATAAATACAAAAACAATTGATTGACTTTTATGGCTTGTGTTATTTAAAATAAATCCAAAAACAATTGATTAATCACTTCCAGCTGCCCGTTATCAACAAATTATGACAGCTCACAGCAGTCTCTACAAAAGCATCTGCCTACTCATTCATTTTATGCTATTATTTTACCTTGAAATAAATATGTATACAATTAAAAACGTGCTCTTTAATGTATGTTTACATGTGTCACATTATATCTGACACATTTTTATTGTCGCATGTTGAAATATACATCACCTTTATTTGAGCTCAGCCAACGCAGTAAACCACACGGCAGATTAATAAGTACATACTGTTAACTTGAAAAAGATACGCAACTTCTTTGAGGAATAAGCTTTGCTTAGCTTCATAAGTTGCAGTTAATATACTTGATTGTTTAGCGATGTCTTCCCGATATATCTAGCAATTACGCAATGAAAGCATACATATTACGACTTACAATTTCGTGTCAAACATGAAAAGGCAGAAAATACTGCGACGTTAAATCGGTTTCTTACCGATAGTTCTGTGTTGCTGGGTCGTGTATGGGGACGAGTTCATTGAATACCACTTGTTCTTATTGATTTTCTTTTTCAAATTTGATTGACCCTTCTTATGGACGGTAGTGGTAAATGCAGATACAAAATATAAAGAAAAAAAAGAATCCCTAAAGAAAAGCCAAACACGGCAAAATTGACAATGTTGCAGGCTCGGTTTGATCGAACCTGTCCATTGATGGTACTGGAAAGTACAAAGTACCGGCCACGCCCCCTAGCAACGGCTTTAGTAGAATTCAGTATTTAAACACGAAAATAGTGAAATTTTTAATTTAGAAACATCCGCAGATATGTTTATAAGGCGGTTATCATGGAACCTTCAATGCGACACAGAAGTGCCATTACATAAAAAGCGGCCAATGACCCACAAGTAAAAGAATGCGTGTACCCTTCTTGAACTGCAAGCCTAATTAATATATTACTGTTTTGAATAAAAGACTATTTTGTACTTATTATCAATGAATTTAGTATTTCCTTTAAAAGGCTTATTTGAATCAATGTCTTCTGTTAAAGGGACTCCACTGAGGTCTTTTGACATGACGGGACTGGAAATATTTTTTTTGAGATTATTACTCTATTTGATGTAGATCTATACTAATAACTTATGTGCAAAATTTCAGATCATTAACTCCCTCCGTTTTTCGAGAATAATTTTAAACGCTTTTCACTCAAATCGGACTGAGTATAGCACAATTAAATGATTTTCAATGTATGTCTTGTATATTTCTTGGTTATAATTTATTTGTATTTCTGTTTTTAGTGCTAATGTTTATCTGTGTGAAAAATTATTTTTTTTTTATGTTTTTTACGCTTATAAACCTCAGCGGAGTTCCTTTAAATTATTCAAATAACAATGTCAACAATAGTTTTATTTACAATAAGCAGCCATCAACTATATAGCTTTAAACACTTTAACAAATAGAATTATTAATTATTGATTGATTTTCTTGTTGATGCATCTGCATTTCAGACATAAACAAATGATAAAATGTTTGAAAGAAGTAGAAATTTTAATCACTTTGAAACGCAAGTTATCGACAATTTTATCGCTTGTTTAAAAAATGATATTATTAAAGACAGAGTTAAAAAAATATACATACAACCAAAGTACTGGAGAATACCTTATATGTAAATACATATATGTGTTAAATTACGAACATTAATTTATAATGCCTTTGCGAAACATAGCAGTTTGCTATACACAAATACAATACTAAATAGAACGTAGAATATGTTTATTATTGTATCTAGATATGTTACGATATTTATACTCGTACATACATATATCACAGCTATAGTATATTTTTTGCTGATATAGATAATACTATTAAATGTGTAAGAATACTGTTGTTTGTATATATGCAATGTATTTTGCTAATAATTATGCTATGCGACCTTCTTTATTCACTTTTATAGAGGTTAATTCATCGTTGCTGCTCGCCATGATGCGAAAATGGCCCGAGAAACATTATGGATTCGAGGGCATGTATTACTCAAATGTTTAAAATATGATGAAACAAGATCAACAAGGAAATGCGGCGTAAATTAAAGTCTAAATCGCCGTCAATATAAATGTCATCCTGTATCTGTTTACGATTTATTGTCTTCGTTCATATAAAATAGATCAACTGTAAATGTAGGCTGTCGAGCAAAACAAAAACTATTGTTGCACATTACAGACATTGGCACATAAAGTTAATAACGCTTTTGTTTTCAATGTCAAGATCACAATCGTTTATTTACAGTAAAAGAAGATCAGAGATAGCATGGGCGTAAGCTGATGAGAAGTTTTCCAGAATATTCTGACAGGAAAGAAATAAGGTTTTATGATTTTGGTAGATATGAAGAATGATGAAATAAATAAGGTTTGAATCATTTTAAACAATGACATTAGTTTTGTGTTTAAATTTCAAAGGCAAGTAAAGAGTTGAGAAAACGTTTTCATACAAAGATGATTCAATATTTTTTCTTGCAAGCTTCAGTACGGCACACTGACAATTTATGAACAATTTATGTTTTAGGGCTGATTTGTGTAGATATGAAGTAGTATGCACTTATAAGAGTATCCTCCAGTAATTTAGTGACAGGTGTGTTAACAAATGCATCTCTTTTGTTTTGGGTTATATATCAGCTGTGTATAATTTCTTTTCAGGTGCAAAATGCTTGTTGACATAAGTATCTGTTATGAAATTTGTTAATACAGCATTCAAATAATAATTTGTACCAAAGTGAAAGACTTTTCAACAGTAAAGGGTTTTTGTTGATCTACATGTTTCACTGCTTCTGGACTACAAGAGACAACAGGACCTGATGATGTTTATGGACTACAAGGCTGATAATTGCTGAATCAGAACTGGTGGCTTCAGTATTGACAACGTTGCTCTGTGTTTGAGCCCCATCAGCTACCGCTGTATCATTTGTGTCTGCAGCTGTAATATCACCTTGACTTGCAATAGACATTGTTGCTTATAATTATAATGTTTGATTATTCAAATTATAATTCATTACCTTGATTAGAATAAATAGTTCAAGACAAGTATTTTTTCCCCATTTTTTACATTAGAGAACAGTTTTATGCATAAACTAAATTATACTTAATTTGATGTTAATTAATTTTCCTATGTTGTCAGGCGTACGTGTATAAGATTTTATCAGTGATTTTAAAGAAACCTAACTTTATAACTTTAATTGTAAAATAATAAAATTATGTCTGAGCAAAGGCAATTATAAATTCAGACAAATGACTTAACTTGTTTTATTCAAAAGTGAATGTCAGATTAACAGTTATCTAGTATAAACAGATAAGTGATTCAATAAATTGATTAAACTGAAAACAGAATTGGTGTAAAATAAACAAATTCATGAATCAGGAAGTCCTTTGTCATATGGGACCTTTTCTATCTTACTGCCTCCTATCATAATTAAATGTTGGCCAATGTTTATATAGTTTTGTAAATAAAATCATGCTTCCCTAACTGAATAGTAATGTTAAACAAATTAAGAATATTTAGATAGTTCTTGCTTAAATAAGACAACAACATTCAATCAAAGTGAACTTATTTCAATGCTCAAAACTGGCAAAAACCTTTAATTTTAAAGAATTTACTTTCTTTTCAATGTTAACGTAGTTTATTTAGTCAGTTAAGTTTATTATCATTACTATTATTTAAACAAAAGCCACGCCGGGCGGGGGCAACGCTCGACTGCTTTACAAAATGTTGCGTGTTCAATTGTGACGATAATCCATTAATTTATTACCAAGTTTTAGTCACTTATAGCAAAAACAATCGCACAATTTTTTGTGACGCATAAATGTCCACTTATACAGTAAATAGAGGATTAACTTTTTAGTAAAGATTTTTAAAAATGCCACGTAAAAAGCATTAAACTTACCTTAGTTTCGTAAGTGTGACAAAAAAATGAATCGAATAATTGTTTCGGACCGGTTGATGTTTTAAATACAGCGTGCAAAATTGTCATTTCCGTTTTCAAGTGACGAAACGTCAACGATTTATTATATCTATCAGGCGTTAGAATACTTTTTCGTAATTACAGCAAATACACAAAACATCACCTATATTAATCTGTATCGGCGCGAAAGAGAAAAAATTCCAAACTGATTTTAACGGAGTTTTATTAGATGATATGGATCGCCGGTCGATTAATAATGAAAAACCTGATAATTATTTATGTTATAACAAGTCTTTTTTTAAAGTCCAATTATCTTTAAGTTGGTCCACATTTAAAGAAATAATTTAGATTGACCATTTTAAACATGTGGTAATTTACTAAAAAATAAATCACTTAATTTCCTTAACATTTAATATCTCTGTCATATGTAGTTGTTGCTTCCATCACCTGATATGTCGCCTTTATGATTTTTGATGTTTTGTAACAGTAAAAATTGATGGAAGCAACAACTACATATGACAGAGATATAAAATGTTAAGATGACATCTACACTTTAATTACTTATATAAGTATTTGTAAACATTAATTCATACCTTTATAAGATCCAGGTACTTGCAAATGTGAATTATAGTTAAGGGTTGCAAAGAATTCTTCGTCTGGTACTGCACATGCGTGACTCATCCATTTTAAAATAACACGAGCTCTACGGTCATGTAGAACATAGTCAACGTAACTCCGTGTAACGGCTATATGAACTGCCCCCTTCATTATTTGAATACCGTAAGGGGGAGGGGTTCTGCTTCTTCCACTACATCTTCGGGATCTGCAAATACAATATGGACATGCATATTTACCAAATTTGATAAATGTTCTTTTTTTTGTATAATTTATGATCGTAAACATTTTGGAAATAGTATAAAATAAATTGCTTTTTTAAGGGGTTCTTAACTGAGTTCAAACATGAATTATTTAACACTTACTCATTTTTAGCAACACTTATGTCATTTTTACCATTATACGCCTTTAAAATCTTCACTAGCTCATAATTTGTCTGCAATGGAAATTCCTGCCCTGTAAGATTAATAAAATATTTCCAAGTTTTGTGTCTTTTCCAAAGTTCTTCCATGCATAAAATTTCTGGAGTTAATACGGACATCTTGCCCCATATAACTTTTATTCTTTTTCGTAAAACAAACACATTTTCAAAACAATGCGATATTTCTGAAATCGATTTATATATGTCAATATCTGCTTTTGAGTCGACATGTATGCAGTAAATATTTTGTGGCCTGTATATTGCACGTAAAAGTCGTTCAACTTGCTGTACATTTTTATACATTATAATACTAAAAGCAATGGGAAACCGCTGTTCTTCTGTTGTCAAAAAATGTGTTATATACCCTCTTTTTTCGAAAAAACATGAACAATTTCTAGTAAGTTCTTGATATTTGATGTGTGTCCAATATTTTAAATCCTGAGTGACACTATTACGAGCTGTTTCTACTCCCGACATATCCCATTCGAAAATATTCTTGCAGCCAATTATTTTCTGTTTACTGTTTTCTCCGAAATACTTGTTTTGTAAATACAAATGTGTACTTTCATTATAAGATCTTGTACTTTCAGCATAATCGTGTACGATAGAAGTGTTATCAAGAAAATAAAACAAGAATATTACCGAACAAATCATGAGCATACAAATAAACAGATCCTTGTTTACTTCCTTTCTTTCCCTGAGACAGTACATACTGAAAGAAATTATGCACAGTAATTAGAGGATAGTTTGAGTAAAACTCCAAAAATAATGATAGGAATCGTAAAGAGTGGATGAATTCGCACTAGATATTATGGTAACACAGTTTCGTTTTAAACTTGATTTTATCCAGTCACTAAGTACTGCTGAAACGAACAAACGAGTATGCTCAAAAGCGCAGATTGCAACTGCATATTTAAATAACTTTAATGCAACTGACAAGTAAATCGAAAGAAGGAGACAACACACATCAATTGATTACACTTTTAATGCAACTGTTATAAAAGTCAATATTGAAAGGCGAAGTGACATTATATGTGCACATATGGTACAAGATAATCGAAAATGGCGGTGAGAATAAAAACACTTTTTTATTAAATTTCTTAGCAGTCGCTTAGCAAAAAGACACTGATAAATAGAATAGAGGCAATAATGTTAATTGTTTTGTTTCGTTAATTGCTTTTGCAGTCATAGATAATTCATACAATAATGTTAGGTTTGATATAATATGTTTTGATGAATATTTACCCACTTCTTTAATAAATTTAACTTTTGTAGCCAAATATTAATGCTATAAAGCATTGTGGAAATGCTGAGGAAATGCAGGTATTTCTTTTCTGGAATTAACGTACATTGTTATTAATTATAATAATATGAATGATATGAAAAAATGCGGGATAATTTCTTATGACATATATGAAGAAAAACATTTAACGTGCTTGGATGCATTCTTATTTGAGAAATCCTCGTACTAGTAAAAACTACGTTTTAATCAAAAATTTAATACAGATTCTAAATAATAGCTAAACTTCAAAAAGGGCAAGAAATACATGCAATGTGCATAAGATTTTCCTTTTAACAGATAACATAAATCCAGGTCAATTTTGTGACGATAACCTCGTTCATTTTTAAAACAATAATTTTCTGTTACCTGCTACTATGAAAATAACCTTAGCTTAATCGTAAACTCAAACCAAAGTAATTTATCATAAAATAAATAACAAGTTTATAGCCATACAAAATAACCAACTCAGTGATCGACATGTATGTATTGTGATAGGGCTGCATTTTATAGTAATCTGTTAATTGTAAGTTGTTCCGTTTTTAATGCACTTTAGCTTATTCCCCATACCTTAGTTGTTGGAGTTAATGTGATTGGTGCTTTCGATTTAGTTCTATATTTTTCATTGGTCGACTTGATTAATATTATTCGATTAGTTTAGAACATGTTATGGGTTATTTTGACCAATCAGTCTTATAGTTATCATTTCTATGACGACCAAAATGTGTATACATGCCGGATGATTTTCTATATGTTCGGTCTTGGGAACTGGTAGACAGGTCAGTTCACTTCAAAGCTTTAGAGCTTTGACACCTTTTCAAAACTTAAATAAATAAACTATAAATAAATATTTAGAAAGTCTTTTTTAATAAATAGTCATAATTAGAAAATATAATCTCATTTACCCAATTGATAAATAAATTTGATGATTGTCATTTTAATAAATCTCAAAGAGTTAAAGTCTTGAGTTATACTTTCGTAACACGAGTAAATTGAAAGTAGCGTCCAAACACCACCATCCTAGCCACTAGTTGGCAATTAGAGTTCTGAGAACCTGGGTATAGTGCCGTACACAATTATCTATATAATCATTTGCTGTCCGTATAATCAATCATTTGGTTATTTTATGACTATCAAGAGCACCACTGAGTGTTGGGCTCGACTCAACTTCAACCACTGTTAATAAACCGGCATTATAACATACAGATACGAAAGAGCAATGCAAAGGATAAATATAAAATAACTTATTATGAAAAAGATTTTATGATTGTGATCAAAGCAATAGAGAGAGTAAGAATCCCTAAAGAAAGTCCAACACAACATAATTGAAATTGTTGCAGGCTCGGTTTGATTGAGCCTGTTCATGGACGGTACTGTCAAGTGCAAACCTCCGTCAACGCCCAATAGCACCGGCTTAAGCAGAATTCAACATTCAAACATGAAATGGTAAAATTTTGAATTCAGAAACATCAGCAGATGTGTTCATACGGCGGTAATCATGGAACCTTCAACATGACACTTCCGTGCCATTCCATGAAAAGCGGCGTATGGACCCCAAGTTATAGAAAGCGTGTGCCCTAAACGAGCTTAAGCAGAATTCAACATGTAAACACGAAATGGTAAAATTTTGAATTTAGAGACATCCGCAGATGTGTACATTCGTCGGTAATCATGGAACCTTCAACATGATACTTCCGTGCCATTTAATGAAAAGCGGCGTATGGTCCCCAAGTAATAGAAAGCGTGTGCCTTAAACGAGAAAAAAATGGGCGGAACTAAGTAAAATGCAAGTGTCTCGTATCTGGCTTTACTGTCCCTTAAATGGTTTAAATAATTATTCGAGTGTTAGGAAATTTTGATTCCGCGCATTTCTGTGAAAACGCAAAATGTTTGGAGTACATTGTTGATTTTCTTGTAAGAAAGAAGTTATCTGGATCACAAATATATAGCAAGTGCTTAGCCTTAAATAAATAAATTCTGAAAACTTGATAGCCTTTTTTTTAGATTTTCCAGTTAAATGGAAAATACGATGTCGTAACTCTACATGCACCGGCATATAAAATATTTTAATATTTATCTAGATATTTTATATAAGTTTAATAAACATAACTGTTTTGCAGTTAATTTATAATATATCATTAATTCGATTGTTCAAATAGAAATAAATTGATAAAACTTAAAAATGATATATCAAGGGAAAATTACTAGATTTGATTCGTACAATTGTTATTGTTAACACAAACTTAGAGTTAAATTAGAAATAAAAAGATAACATTATTATTATTTTATTAGGCAAACTTTTATAATATCAAAATTATGTTAAAACAAAAATAATCACCATCAATTTTATCAAAGTTTTACCTTAATTTATGTGAAACATGAAACCGAAGATGAAGAGGTGAGTTGTCTCAATCAGATTCAATAAAAGAGGGGTGAAGCGTCTGAGGCGCGAAGTGTCCGCAAAAACTGGCTTGCAGTGAAGTGTCTGAGGGGGAACTGTCTTTGAATCCTTTCGAATATTTCTATTTGGCTTTTACCTAGTTGGGTGGTTCCAGTATTCCTTACTTGAATATTGATTTATCAGGATTTTGTCTTTTGACAGCTTTCCTGTGACATGTAGATTTCATAACCTCTGATCCCTTTTCAACATTCAATTTTATTTAATTCTGTCCATTGTGTTATCGTGTTGGGCAACACATTCTTTTAATTGCGGGACCATACGCCGCTTTTCACGGAATGGCGCTTTGTTGAAGTTTCCACGATACCACCGAATTAAACCCATCTGCGTATGTTTCAAAATTTAACCATTTTTTTGTTGAATGTTGAATATTGCTTAAGCCGGCGCTGGGCGCGTGGACGATAACTTTTCAATACCGTCTATGAACATGTTCAATCAAATCAAGCCGGTTAGATTTTCAAATTACCATTTTGTGCTTTCTTCTCGGATTTTGTTTTCAATTCGAACCTCATTTAATTTTGATAATAAATTAATGTCACAGATTGATTTTAGGTTTGTAGAAAAAGTTATACAATTGAAAAGGACCGTTGACGTAATAAATTCCTATTTTAAGACAAAACACTAAATAACTGTTTCTCATTTTGCCTATCCAAAGAGCGCTAGTTTTGTCTACATTTATCTGTAATTTACACACTTATTGACTAATAGAAAACGCTTAAACGTGCCGTGATTAAGCACAAGAAACACATTGGCAAAAACAAAAGTTATCATAAGAACCCCGGAACATATTTTGAGTTATCACAAGAACTCTGTGACATTTGAAAAATCGGATATAAATTTATTAGCCTAGTTTTTATGTTTGCAACTCTCCATTATAATTAGGTAATTAAGTACAGTGACAAAGAAGATCACAACTGAAAAGGTCAATATGTACGAATGAGCAAGTAATTTGGAAATTTTACTCAAAACTACCAGATTTTTCAAAAAGGCGCTGAAGAATGGACTAAAAGGTTTTTCTGAAACATGATACAATATGTAAGGCAAGTCTTTTTTTTATCAAAGTTTAATTTAGCACTTCAAACTCCCCATTTGAAGATAAAAATTATCACTACTCACGCGAGTTCTCCAAGTATATAAAAAGTTTCCCACAGAAATTCGTAACGTTTTCCAGGATATCCGTGACAGTTATCATAAGAACTCCATCCTTCGTGTAACAGTTTCTTCCCGGTGAAAACATTAAACCGTAAATCAGACGGATAGTGTCACCTATAAATCTTCCGGGAATACAATCGCTTTGGTCTAACACAAATTTAAGTCTATTAGCTACACATGCAGATGTAAATTTACATGTTATATTCAAGAATGAAATTCAATATAAAACACCAGTTTTTATGTACATGTAACGTTTATCTTTGTCGCCTTTTGGTTAACATGTAATATCTATATACATAAGAATAATTAAATAGAACGGATAACAAAATCACCGTTTCTTTATCTTGAGGAATTTGAAAACAAAGCGGCAAATAACCCATTTATGTCTGGCGATGTATTATTTTACTTAACAGAGCTTCTTCATTTGGAATAAAACTTTGTGATCGATATTTTTGGCGTCTCAGAATTTTTGTTTTCATATTAATGCCGTATACCATGTTATTCAAATAAATTTTACTAATTTCCTATACTTATCATACAGACTTAAAATGATTTATGGTTATGCTAAAATATTCTATTGTTTATTTATTAGTTCTCCCGCCTTGTTAAAGAGAGTGCCATAATTATGGTTTTAAACAAAATGGTGGTTTTCCAAATTTCTAAAATACCAATTTTCTTATATAACCAATTTTGCCCGCGAAAGTACCAATGAACCCTCTAACCTTTTTTCTAATGCTGTACAATTCTTGAAGCTTGTTTAAAAAAATCATCATTATCTATATTCCCGTTTTGTTGATAAAGTTCGATGTCCTTTATGAGCCTTTTCTCGGTTAAAACATTTTTCCTAACATTTTTTTTTAAATATACGAATTTGCATAAATGATTTATCAACAACCGAGAGCGAAAGCATTGTCATTTGTGAAATAGTTTGATCTCCCGGAATGTATTTGTAGATTATAATTACTTGTAGCACAATAGGCTAAAGACTCATATAGTCCGATTCGCAAGAACCTTTATTCTACCATCACTGAAAAAATTTACTA